TGTGTGTGTGTGTGTGTGTGTGTGTGTGTGTGTGTGTGTGTGTGTGTCTCCAAGCACTTTTTATGGAGAGGTTACACATCATTTTTTGGGATGTCGTAAGAGCTCGCGGTGGAGGCAGGCAGAGCTGGGAGCAGCCCCCCTGTTAAGTAGCAGATCGTGTGGAGAGTCTTCCCACTTGGAAAGAGGCTCACCGACGCGTCTGGGAACCACAAAAAAAACACCAAAAAAAACCCCACCGCTGGAGCTCTCTTTGACTTCAGCACACCGGACCACCTCACTCTCCCTTTTCTCAGGTTGGGGGTCTACAACAGAGACTTTAACCTTTTTTTCATTTTGATTTCTTGAAACAAAACCAAAGAAATTCGACTCTATAGGTCAGTTCTGCATGATTTATGATTTTTTTCCCCCCTCAGGTGAATTATTTGATTTCAGGTAGATTACATATATTTTCTGCAGTTTTAAAGGATAACTTATTTCCAGAATTCTGTTATCTCTTAAGATTCCAGTTACCATCCAATTTCAATCTGGGATAGTTTGAGTAACGGTGGACTGTTTCTTGGCTTCGCGGTGCGTAATTGCGCACGACGCCAGGATTTGACGCTCGGTAATTCTGAACTTTGGGAAGACTTTCTCTCCGTTAGAGTGGGTATGCCTCATCAGCAGGTATATTAGATATTAATGCAGATGTTTTGCGGTGTAATTACACCAGAATTTAAACTTCTTTAAGAAGGAAACTGAATCTAACAGAGAGAGACAGAGGAGACAGATTTACCTTTGTGCCAAGTTTTCATTAAACTTGGCACAAAGTTGCATTAAATCGTCTTTATTTGTAGTTTAAAGCTCATAAGTTGACTTTATTTGTCAATACTTATAAATTCTGTCATGTAATATTTTTTTAGTTGTCTGGGAAGCAGTTTTTTAGGAGCCCAAGGATCGTGGAGATATGCATTTTGGTAAATCTGCTCTGAAATCTGCGTTTTCTAGTGGATTTTAATCAACTAGATGTATATGCTAATAGATCCGCAGGAGGCAGGTGTCCTTGAAGGTCTCGTGAAGCCCTGAGGCTGCTGCGGGGCTGATGTTTAAAAAAAAAAAAAAAGGTCTAACCGCCTCCTTCGTTCCATCTCGCAGCTTCATTCATGTGCTGCTGAGCCAGAGGAGCTGAAGATGAAGAGCAGACTGTCTCTGTTGGCGGCTGCCCTCCTGGCACTGCTGCTGTCCTCCCAGGCCCAGGGTCAAGGTAAAGCCTCCTCTTCTTCCTCTTCCTCCTCCTCATCTCTGTGATCCAACACATCTCACTTGAACTCCTCTCACCTCTGCCCCTTTTTTCCCTTCTGCCTCCAATGTGCAGCTGCATAATAGTCTGAATAAAAAAGAATCACGCAGAGAAAGACAAATGTGTGTTTTGTGAATTGATTTGTTTTTAACTGATTTGCCTTTTCAGCCTCCGTTTAACCTTTTTGATTGATGATTCTGTCCGTCACTCCAATAATCTCAGTCCCTCAGGAATTCACAAGATTTCCGCATGAAGAGAAAAAACAGATATCTGCTTTGAATCTATGCATATGAGCTTTGTTTTGTGGTTTTAGCCATTAGTGTAACTTTCCCTAGACCTGTGATGTAGCTAAGACTTCAAAGTACAATAAAATATGGCCTCAAGATGGTGAAAAGGCAACAAATATGAGGAAAAATCTGTTATATTGTTAGAAAAGCAGAATGGTTTCAACTTTTCTCCCCTAAAGAAGAACAAATCAAGCAGGCTGGTGCTTCTTTTATATCATTAATTAACATCTATCCGTGTTGAAAGACAGTAATGTATCTAAAGAACTATCCTAAAGAACAAGAAACCAGAAAGAATGTTGGTCTTGGGGTTACGTGGGGCATCTTTCTTAGACTGTAGTTTGATCTGTTTTACACCAGGAGGGGCCCTTGCTTATAATTCGACTATCTGTCGCTGGAGACATTTCTCCAGTTTCAAAAAAGAAGAAAAAAAAAAACCCAGACGGCACTTGGCCAAGTTTCCTCCCTCTGTCTTTTTCTCCTGATGGAACGGAAAGACAAAATATGAGTTTCACATTATTTTCCAGAGGTTTTTGGAGGTTAGGAGAGGAGAAAAATCTGCTCCTCTGTGTCTCTGGATTTTCTCTCAGAATGAAAAACAAAACAAAAAAAGTGCAGTAAAAGCTCATCAATTCACCAGGAGGAGAATCAGGAGAGTTTCTGACCTCTTGTGACCTCTTTAACGTCCCAGCGGGGGGGGGGGGGGGGGGGGG